GTGGACCCATTAGAATTATTTTCCTATTATCCAGATCGCTTACCGCACCACTTCCGCCACTGACAGCGAAAATTTTATTACAAAGAAATAATCGCAAAAACGCTTAGTCTTCCGTCTTTTTCTGACAGCATCTCAAGTGTTCTTTTGCTGCACATCAAAGTAGAAAACGAAAGTCACTTGGGTATTGTCAAGACTCCAAGCACTGGTGGAACGGTAAGCAATATTCTTTAGGGAGTATTACAACACTAGCAGACTTTTAATAATGCTCTTACTTTCATTTTACGCGGCATGTGCCATAACAATGATTTGGATTCTGAATGTATTACTTTTGTCATCCGCACATTTTATCCTCAGTGGTGCAGGAAGTACGAGTGAAAACTTTCCTTGTACAAATACGCATGTTGAACTTATAGATTAGGAAAACCTGAGATATTATTATGTATAATTAATAAGATCGAATGATTCAGGATTTCTTAATGTCCAATAAAATGCGTGTTCTCTTCTATGGTTGCATTTCCTTCAAACCAATAGAATTAGAAAAAAATTGTAGAATTAATTCAGGTCCAATTCATAGTTTGCTTAATGAATGGAAAATATTCGTATGAATTAAAAAGGTTAAATTAAACCAATTTTGTTCGTTTACATCAGTGTACTCATCTACCTTTGCCGAAGAAAATAAACAACTAATTTTTGGATTTACAAAATATGTATGTATATATGTGTATATGAAAATTATATTCCTCGATTAAATAAATTCTGATATTAGTTAAACCTAATGAAACCCAAAACGTGTGAACAAAGAAACCATGTTGAACACTTAAGTCATTAATAATTTTATAAACTAAAACTCCATACAAGGTATAGAGCAACGAGACCATTAGTGGCCACTGCGACCGTAGTGGCTACTTTAAGCACAAAATTTGAACAATAATCCAGGCACAAAAAAAGTTTTCAGGCCCAAAGACTTAAATCTATATCGACGTGCTGAATCCGAAACCGCGGCATCCAGAATTACGCCGCCACCATCCATTTTTTAAATTATAAAAAGATACTTGACATTTACAATCTACAATGTCACGGTGTTTTTACGAGATTTAAAAATTGGAAGGAGCTGGCACCATTCGGGATTCCGATTCGTATTCAACGCGTTGAAATCCATAGAGAAACATGAGTCAAGTCTTGGGGGCTGACAACTTTTTTGATGTCTGTGAAATAATTGGAGGCTTCCAACTTTCAGAACGAGAAGCTTAGAGCCTTCTAGCGGTGACGATTAGAACACAGATAATTTCATTTTCTATGGACATTGCAAAAATTTAATATGAACCGGCAATTTTTTGAATACGTTCAGAGGTAGAACATCAATTGGCCATTACTAAATAGACCAGAACACTATCAATTTTTCAAGGGCTCACTACTAAAAAAAACAGGGTTTGAAAATACATATTTTCGTAAAGAATAAACAGATTGCTAGCAGATAAACAGAGAAAACAAATTGCTAATTTTAGTCATGATAAGTATGAGTACGCAGAAAGAAAAAGTATGTTAATCGCTCATTGAGATTCACACAATGATTTAAATCTGTAGCCCAAGAATTTTGATAAATCTACAAAAATGTTCTGTACTTCAGCCACCACCGGTGCTGTTGTCCTAATCTGAGAACAATAAAATAACAAAGCTTACCATCTAGTTACGTCAAAAGATGACAATAATCCAGCACGCTCTCACTGAAAGTTGTGTCGTCACACAAAGACATCGCAAGGTTTAAAAAATAAAAAGAGGACGGCAAATTCCTAACCCGGCCAGCATGCACGTTCCACAAACACACGTGTATCGGGTCCGCTACCTCCGCCCGGGCCTCGCCGAACGCCAGCACATCCCGTAGGGACGGTCCCAGAACCCGCCCGCCCGGAGGCGACCGAATCCGCGGAGGCGATCGTGAACCTGCCTAATGAACGGGTCTCCCGCCCGCACGCGAGGCGGGTCGTCCGGCGTCGCCCCGGGGCTCGAACTCGGGACCGGCCCCTCTCGCCGTCGCCTGCACGTGGCCAACGCGCGCCCACCCGTGCTACCGGTACGGTGGTTGCGCAGGGCAGTGGGCCTCGGGATGGCAAAAGACATTGAAGGTTTTAAAAACATCGATATTTTCGAGCAGAAATAGCTATTTTGAAACATCAATATTTTGCTTTCGGTGCGGTGGTGGCACGGGGCAGCGGGCCTCGGGATTGCAAAAAAAATGTTTTAAAACAGACGCAGAAACATCAATGTTTTAGTTTCGGAGCGGTGGTTGAGCGGGTCAGTGCTCGTAGGGATGGAAAAAATGTTTTAAAACAGACGCAGAAACATCGATGTTTTGCTTTCGAAGTTTTCTTCAAGTTGATATATTTGTGTAGAAACAGCGATTTTTAAAAAAACCTTATATTATTAAATTTTCCGTGCCCCCTATTTATTTGTGGATTGCTCGCAATCAACACGCCATTGACAACGGTCACTATTGTCGATCCCCAGGCGGCACGAACCAGTTTACTATTCCCACCTTTCTCCTGTATTGTTACATTTTTTATTTTGTATGTGATACCGTCCGATTATGTTGTTTTTTTCATTTGGAATCGATAAAATATTGATACCAATAATATTCAAGCAATATGCAACAAATCAGATGAGATATTAGCAAAAATATGAAATGGAATATTTTGATTATGACATGAAACTGACAATAGTTCCCAGTTCTCATTTACATTAATGCAAAATGTCTGATTAATTAATTTATTTTCGTAAAAACAAATGTTTCAAAGTAATTTGCATGATTGAATTCCTGTGTGCAGAGGGTTACATTTGAATCTGGGTTCTCCCTTTTTATGTAGAGAATTTTTATTACGTTTAAAAAAATATTATTTTCCTTTACACAAGACCTTAAGACAACTTCTCTTAACGACATACGAGTAAATACCTATAATTAATGACCAAAATAGAAAATTAGACTGTCCTAACACTAATTACGCATATCGTAAGTATCGCAAATCATCTCCCACTGAAACGTCACGCAACGTAAGGTGACATTTATCTAGGAATTCGTTACATGCGTGATTTGGCGTCTTCGGTCTAACGAACGACGTGTCGCTTAGTAGCTGCTCCGGGAAGTTGGTTACCCTGCTACGCCATTGCCAGCATGGCTGCCGCAAGAAGCGGTCTGGGTTACAGACGTGCGCGGGGTATAAATCTTCTCCAAGAGAGACTTAAATATTTCGATCGAATGTACACTTTTAGTTAATGAGTTATCTTAAACTGATTGTTACGAAATATAGAAAGAAACAAACTATCTTGAAAACAAATTACTTTGAATGCAATATAGATTGCAATAATGATTGCAATGAAGAGTATATACAGAATTCTGATGCAAGTCTTCTGCAGCATTGTTGAAAAATACAAAAATGTAACACACTGATATAAAATGAGTTTCTGTTTACATGGTATCTGATTCCAACTTCATTGACATACCGTGTTGTTAGATTGTGCTCAATCAGTGCAAATTTCTGCAAACAGGAGTTTAGTCTCCATGACCGAAATCAATCAAACCTTTCATTAAATAAGCACGAAACATTGTTTATCTTTGCAATAGATGTATAATGTCCTCAGCTCTGAAGAAATAGATATCATTGTATGGTTTTAGACATTGAGCGCCCTAGCCATTGCACAATTTGTCAAACTTTTTTAAAAAAAGTCTCATTTTCTGCGTGTCGTCTTTCGAGGAATTTCATTTTACACATTTTCATCCAAGTAAACAAGACGTATCGACGAACTAATGCCAAATAACATTACATTATAATTGAAAAATTATATAAATTAAAATGAAAACATTATTCAACTGCACTATCAAATTATATTTTGGAGATCTTGCGCCTTTAAAACGCGTGGTTTTCTTAGAATCGATTGCACATGGGCCAGCACCGATTGACGGAACGTCCCCGAGAGCAGCGTTGCGCTATCAACGCGCCTCTCACTTCCGCCGCGCCACAATAGCGCATGCCCACGAGCACGCGGAAGTGACGAGCGCACGTGGGGCTGCGGGCGGCGGCGGCGGCGGCACGGAAGTGAAGGGACCTCGGCGCCGCGCTCACAATCAGCCCGTCCAGGGCGAATGGAAAGCGAAACGGTCGAGCGCTCACGCAATGCGTGGGCGGCCGCGGCGCCGGCGCCGGCGCCAGCGATAGCGCCTCGACCTCCCCGGTCGTCGCAAACAAGTCTCCCGAATGGCTAACGAAACGCGAGGGACCACCAGCAAAGCACACCTTCGCCTAACGCACAATAGGTAACGAAATGAGCGAGATCCCGCCCTCAAAACATTTTATTCGGGCTCCCTTCATACAATTGTGTAGCAAACACGAATAGGGTTGGTACCGTAAATAATAAAAATATCCCGCCCGCACTGCGGGCCCCAACGTTACTCCACTGCTAACTCCGATCCCTGTTGCCTGACCTACGCTCGCACCTCCGCACGGAGATTACGGCGCCTTTTCTGAACCCGCACCGCCGCGGCTTCCTCCTCTTCCCGACAATTATGAGTAATTTCGGGTTTTCACTCCGGGCAGGCGCGGCGCAACGCGACGTAGACAAGTGACGACGCCGAAGCCTGCGTCGTGTCGAAGCGCGTGCCCGGCGTGATCGTCGTCTGTTGCTCGGAGATGACAAATGAATGACAATCCGTTACGTCACCAGCCATCTCATACGACGCACAAGGGGGGGGGGGAGTTTGGAATGCGACCTGTTGCGTTGCGTCGCTGCGCCATCGACGACCACTCCTGGGTCGCGAGACCCATCCCATACACAAGCGCTGTCAACACACACGGCGAAGCTGTGCACAGTTTGGAATGTGACCTCCCGGTCGGTGTGGTGGAGTGGTTATGTGCTGGGAATTCCCTCGACCCTCTCTAAGTGGTTTCTTTTCGAACCGAGCGTTGAAATCTCCACAGCATTGGTCACTGTCGATGGATATTTATGCTTACCTTTCAGAGATATTCCACAGAGATGAACACAAAAATCAGCAAACAAAAATATTCTTTCTTGAGTCACCACACCAACACCAACACCACACACGCGCTAGTTCGCACACAACAACACACAGAATCCACGAAATGTCACGCAATATAGCTGAAGGTCAAACGGTGTTCGTTCACTGTAACAAGGCCCGCAAAGGGCCGACGACAGCGACGAGCGAGGTCAAGGGCGGCGCGTGGGCGAGCGCGCGTCCCTTTGTGCCTCGCGGCAAGGACACCGGGAGGGGAAGAAGAGAAAGGGGGGGTGACCGACGGCGGTCGAAGGTGGGGGAGTGGCGCGGAACGCGACAGACGCCCGGCGCGGTCGACGGCGGGCGGCGAACTGGCGGGGCTGAGGCGGCAGCGCGGTAGGAGGAGGGAGGGAGGGGCAGGTGTAGCGGAGAGGGGAGGGCCTCGCGAGCGGCCGTGGCTGGGCTGGGGCCGCGGGCTGGCTGGACGGCCGGCCGGCTGGTTGCTTGGCGGGCGAGCGGGGCAGGCAAGCTGGCTGGCGGGCGGGTTGGCTTTCTCTGGGCGTGCGGCGCGGAGCGGCACCGCCAGGGCTACCGCCGCTGCCACGTCCGACGACCCGCAGAGGCCGCGGCAACGTTGCAGAGACCGCGCCTTTGCCGCCGCCGCCGCGCCGCCGTCTCTGGGGCCTCGAAGACGCCGCCGCCACCGCCGAGCTCTATACTCTCTGGGGTCGGCACTGCCGCCACAACACGAGGCACTCCGCTACGCCCACACGAAATTCCAGAAACAAACATGTTTTTGATAGCTGTTTGGCGGCCCATGCACGTTCTGGACATGTGACACTTTTATCCGTACCGTTTACCCGACAGGGTACATACGAGCATTTGCGGCAACACCGTGGGTAAATCTGTTATGAACGAAACTCGTCTTTTTTTTAAGATGTGGCTTCTTTTTGTAAGCTTAAATCTGCACAAGGTGAAGTTTTCTGTGAAGATAAAGGTTGTTTTGGTAAACACAAACCGCGGTAAGATCGGACGGTTTAAACTGAGCAAGTGTAGTTGCCTTTGTAGTAAACACGAGACGCGCGATTCAAATACTGTTGACCTCTCTGGATTTTATTACACGTTGATACTCAATATTTCACGAAACAAGTTCAAGAAGTCACTCATCAATGATAATATTTTCAGTTTTTATTAAGGCAAAAGTATCTAACATTCTAACACTATCATTATTATACCTTATAAAAATCCGAGAAATAAAGTAAACTTGGCTAAACACTTGGGAAAAAACTTGGGTAAACGTAGGAAGTGATGTATATACATTTTGATCTGATGTTTATGGCGACAAAAAATCAGAGTTTAGGATTATCTCACCGGGTTTTTTGTTCAAGGAAACCATTATCACCAACGTGTCCCAGAGCAGACCTTAGACAGAAACCTTCAGTAACAAGAAAACGAATGAATATTTTTTAAGTTCATTCATAAGTAAGACATGGTATGCTCAGCTAACAGATCAAAAGGTGATGTGCTATATTTAACTTAAGATACTTTATTTTTCTGATGATCATTAATTAGTGGATTTATGTAACGAATGAAAAGTTTTCAAACCACCTACGGGGGGGGGGGGCTCAGTACCTGCCTCCAGGTATGGAAGAGCCAATGCCAGTAACTATTCAGGCGGGTACAGAGGCTGAACAGCCACGTCAACTATGCATGGACAGGTAAAAAATTTAACAACAAAACAACCTTTGTAATAAATAATAATAAATAGGATTATCAGTACTTTCAAATTTATAATTATCATTTAAAATGATCATGTGGTCTGCAAATATTAAATAATAATTATTATATATTTGATTTGAACATAATCAAACCAACAAAATAATTTATTCTCATACTATAAAATGACAAATGGACACCCAAAAATATCAAACTAAGTTTATTATTTACTAATGGTATAAAAGTCCGAGAACATTGTTTTCTTTCTGATACGGAATAATACCATTTATAATCTATTTAATATTGGGGAATTTTAACATTTACTGCAACCTACACAATAGACAATCGGCTATTGAATCGATTCCATTTGCTCCTTATAGACGCGTTTTTAGTTTCTTCTACAGATTTAATTGTGAGAAATTAAAAAACCTTTTCTACCTTTTCCAAACATCCCTAATATTTGAATTTCAAACAAATTTTTACTTCCCCGCATACGTAAAGTTTCCCCCGCAATAAATGGCGGGTGAAATTCTATCTTCCCAACCTTTCACACAAACTTGGACCCCCTTCGATTCGGGGCAGAGACGCGATGACCAATCGCTACAGTCTGAAGAACCTTAATGATTATGTGATGGGCGCGAAAGACCATGGGGCGGGAAATACGCTGTTACCGGGGGCGAGGGCCTCGATTGTTTACGTAGGAGGCGGAAATATCGTCATATTTCCCTTCCAAAGGAGATATTTTGCCTGCGCGGACGCAATAAGGAAAACATATTTCTGAGGTGGGTTTTCCTACCAGAATTACTGTCAATAGAACAGTAAATTATAGAATTTTTTGCAATAATTATACTATATTTTGGCAAACAATTTACGACTATCAAACTGTTATATTAAAATAATCCTCTCAAGCACATTTTACGGATCCTTTCTGACCGTTCTAGTGCATATTACGTTTTTTTTATAAAATTGTAAATTGTTGCAAAATTATTACTTGGCGCATTTCGGCTCTGAGACATTGGGAGACTCTCCCCTCTTTAAATCTAAAAAAACTTGGAAATTGTTTATAAATTTGCAAATGTTGCAAATTTTTTAATTGTCTCCTGTAAATCCCCTTTAAACGCAATACAAAATTTCGCCATCTGATCGGTGCTGTCAACTTCCGTTCTCGAGATATTTAATTGTTTATTAGACCTTAGCATCTCATACTCACTCCCTTTTTTGCACTTAATCCGTCCGCTCTCCGCACCCAAATATACTGAAAAGAGAGGTTTGCAAAGTCTCGCTTCGATTGTTCGCTTCATTCGCTTAATGCCGAGGGCAAAAGAGTTATCGCCGCATCGGTAGTGCCACGAGGCGATACACTGTGCCTCGGAGCAAACTGATTGTCTTCCCCATTTCTTCGCAAAAACAAACAAAGAAGATGTAAATTTTATTAGTATTTCCGTGGGATCATTGCAGTAACAATTTCTGTCTTTTTTTTTACATCGCGTCTTACGAAGGAAGGCGGAGGAACTGGAACATTACTGAGGAAGGAATGGATAGCCAATTGTGACATGTTTTAGCACACACGCCCTTATCTCCCGGCATGTGTGGTAGTATGTAAATGTCCAGGCGGCGTCTGATTTCGACCTAGGTATCTAGTTAGAGTCGTAAATCCTTCCACCGACGCTCCAGTCGAACCGTAAGACCTCTTGGTTACAGACACTCCAGTGACATCTGTTGTTGTTCCGAACCATGTTCGCCGTTTCATTAGGAAATGGTATGTCCATTTGGTTGCATTGTGTGGCTCGTGGCCCCACATCGTTGCTTATGCGTTTTGTCGCGAGTTGAGAGGGGAGAGGGAGTACCCCTAGCAACTCGTGCAGGGAGAAAGTAAAGAGAGTGTCTATTAAAGATGTTTATTATACTCACCCGCGTAGTGGGCCCATCGTCCAGGGAGCGAGTGGCGACACGACCGCTGGCTCCGGCAGGTTGCAATACGTGAAGAGAGGGGCGAGGTGCGAAGCCCTCGCCATTTTATAGCCTCGGAACGCTGGCGTTGGCAAGTGACAACTGGTCACTTGCCGACGGCAGCGTGTCGTGAGGACCGGAATGTCATATCGCGACATTTGTTCCGGGCGTAAGGAACAATTGCCGCTCAATTACACTCACCAAACCGATTGCACAGTATTATCACATACAGCTACCGGTCAGGGCAAGGTGTTGTGATAGGAGTAGGGGATTGATGTGATGCACAAGGCACTCTGAATACACCCCATGCCACAAACACAACTGAACACTTTCGTGCCATTCGTGTTCTTCGAACACCATCTTTAGTGCACGCGAATTTGGGTGCTCTTTCTCCAAATCTCATTGCCATGAGACTGTGTTGACAACCGTACTATTTATTACGGTTACTTAAAGTAAAAATATTTTTAATAATAATACAGCATAGCACGGTTATTTAAAGTAAAATATTAATAATAATACAGTAAAAAAATTTTAATTGATTGCACAAAAACTATATAGGACTATAGCTTTCATATGAGTGTCACATAAAAGAGGAACGCACGTAGTTTTGTTTGGATGTTACAGCATTCCCGGGATCGCTGTAGTTGGCGTTTTGTAAAGGTAGCGACTTCTAGCGAAGAGTGAGCTTTCTGTGTGCTAGAATTTTACAAAAATAAAAGTGCGGATAATAGAAACGGATATTTTAATTTTTGAGGGTACTATGATCAAGCAGCAACGACATTTTCAAAATGTTCTCGAAAAGACACCAACATTTTGTTTAAATTTGTTACTCGAACTCAACAAGTTCATTGATTAAAATTACGCATCTCCAAGACAAATGACCAGTAAAGGTGGCTCAGGACATGAACTGGTGTCACTGCAGGGTCTCTGACTGAGAGAGCCTAGGGTTCGAGTTCAAACGTTGGCAGGATTTTCGACACTTTCTTGTCAGGTAGGTCGAATAAAATGATAGGATAATTCTAGAGACCGGCTGCTCTGATCAGTTCTTTTCCGTGATTTATCCGATCAACACCAGGCGAATACGGGAGTAGTACCCTAACAAATAAATCACGAGTCGCGCGTGATCTTTCCTTCCTCTTCCTTGTCCTATCTTCACCCCTCACTTACACATACACTCACACGGACTTTACTCTACCCAATTTGTCGAGATCTTAGAGCTTGCCCCGGATGGGGCGGTACCAGGCTGGTGAGAGAAACCTGGTGGTGAAAACCCCCCAAGACGACGTAGATCGGCGCCAGGTCTCGCCATCCGGCGGGGGAAGATTACCGCCACCTCCCGCGACAAAAAGTGCCTCAGCACTTCGACGCGCCCTTAAGCACTAATCAAACAATAATTGACAAACCACAATGTTGTACTGTTGTACCCAAGTTGGCGGGTTCAAACCCGATCGAAGCCGTGGATTTTTAAGGGCGAAAAAATCCTTCGTACGCCTTCCTTCGGAGAGGAAGTAAAGCCGGCTGTCCCATGTTCGTAGATTTACTTGCATGTAAAAGATCCTCAAGCCTAAATGACGCCTCTGAGCTAAATTCAAATCGCCTGTTTCTCGCCCAAGAAATACCTTCTTTCTCTGCTAGATGATAGGAGCGTAGCGAAATTTGCCTG